CCTTTTGGTCGGATTTCCCGTTTGCTCTGTTGAGTGATGCTCAAAACTGAAGCTCTGGATCTGGATATTTAATCAACCACCACTTACTTGTACTTTACAGACCCTGAACCAGAAATAGGGCTTACAAAGGCAAGCAGGGCTGCAGAAATCCAGTAGTTCCTACGGTGGAAAACCTCCAATAACGCGCCTTCTCTGGTTCATGGTCATGTTTTACACCTTCCCTACATCACAGCATTTATGCAGTTCCTTGTTGGTAATCATGTGACCTAATGCTTCCACTATCCCATTTGAAACCTTTGAACGCAAGCCTGCTCACCGGGCACCACACCTGCCTGCTGATCCTTGGGAAAAAAGGCCTTTGCAGCTCCTTGCTGCAAACCATCTCCTCACTTTAGACGTCACATCACACGCACATTTAGTAAATGCAACTATTTCTTTTCTCTTGAGCCATTTGTCTCCACAGAATATTGTGTAAAGGGAATTTGGGGCTGCAATAAAGGTGCGACATCAACAGGTAACTGATAATTAGTCTCTATTTGTCCCTTTAAGAAAATATTAAAAGTGTTTTGTTTTTTTAATATTCATAATCTATTACCATGTCATAAGTCACAATTCTCCAATGTAAAACATTTCAGATACTGCATGGGTCAAATATGAAACATATGGCATTACAGAAATAATCAAACACAAGCACAAAAACAAACCCTTCGGTTAGCTGTTAGCAGTTCACAAATTAGTTGTTTTTTCCGCCAATTAAATCTTTTGACAGTTGAACGAGGGTTAAAACACCACCCTTGTCCAACTATTTGTCTTTCAACCCACCCAAACAGCCGGCCTGCGACACTCAGCTAGTCCACGATTTTCCTGAGGGGTTATTTCTGTCTCCGGGACAAAAGGGTTTACGTCCTACTGAAAGATGACAGTGTGTGCTGCAGTTTGCGTGTTCATGTGTGCGTTTGTGCAGGATAATTAGACCCTGTGCCTCGCTCCCTGAGAGTTCTTTAACCACAGGTTTGAGGCATAATGAAACTACACCGTCATGGACACTGAACTGTCACACCACATACACACACACACACACAGATGTGCGTGAACACTTTACTGAGCACGTTCACAGATGTTTGAAAACAAACACACACACTGTGTCAATGTTTAACTGAGTCAGAGATGTGGAGGGAAGAAGGCTGGATTATAAGATGGCAGATACAGAAACTGGCTGGGAGGACTAATAAAAACAGGCAATTACTCATTAGGTAAAAGCCAGCTCACCCGTTCACCTGTGGAATAATCAATCACCAGATTTGGTCGAAGTGTGTCACGCGATGTGAAGCCTGTTTTGTTGTGTGGGAGTATTGTAAGATAATGGGAGTCTTTTTAAGGCTTCTACGGCCTGAGGGGGTACAGCTCGGCCTCATGCAGCCATGCCTCAAAGCCTTCGGGCGATGAACTTGAACTAAGCTCTTCTGTCAACACACGCCGACATGCTGTCAGCTCAGTGTTCAACGGTGGAGCAACAAAGGGTGGGTGATAGCGAGACAATGTTTCAGATGCTGTGGATCACCGCCATGAAGCATACTGTAGTTTGATAAAGCAGACAAACAAAAAGAAGACACAAAAATCACAGATGACATGCTCTCTCTAAACTGTCACAACGCGTAGAAAAATCAGTTGTGTTTCATTAATCTGCTAACAGGCCAGTTATCCATGTCCATTAAAGTGTCCCACTTGGTTATCTCTGCCATACACGGTGGCGATCTAGTTTAGTTTTTGCTTTTCACACAAATATACACAATTTCAGCGAGCATGTGAAGTAAGTGACATTAACAAACAATTAACCGGTGATCGTGCAAAGGTACATGGTATTAAAACAGCTGATGCAATCCCATGTTTTATGCCTATCATGCTGGCATTGCTAAATGTAGCATCAACGTTTGGTGAAGAAATTTCAGCAAAACTGATGCAACTAGCAGCCACTTCACTGATGAGTAGAAGTGAGTGATCGCACTATTAAAGCCACGGAAACAGACTTTAATAGGTGAGTGCAGGAAAAACAGAAGGCAAGATGTTCCAAAAAGACATAGAACTGAGCAGATCACCCGAAAATTTAGGACACAATAATTTGAGAAATTGCAGTACCGATGACAGAAGCTGCACAGCACGCCTCAACCAGCACAGATTCACTCCTCTGGTCTGACGCTGCTGGATCTGGAAACGATTCACGTAATGTTGCGCGGCCTGATTGATTCAACTCAACTGAATAATGACAATGTTTCTTTAACATTTCCACAATCCGGGTCAACATAGCTGCTGTAATGCTTCAATGGGTACACGTCAGAAACTCACACATTTCTGGGATTCTCAAGAAAACCTCAGAGATTCTCCTCAAAAGGAGAAAATCCTGGCTTTTGCATCGAGTGAGGACGTGCTAACCGGTGGTAGAGTGATCTTTGTGGTGGTGGTTGGCCTTGATCAGGTCTGCAGGCACACCAAATGTACATAAGTGTAAAACAATACTATTGCCAAGAGATATACAGAAGGAAAACTAATACAAATGGTCCAATCTGAGCAAAGTGGTTTTACATGAGGCTTCATCCATTGTAGAGCTTCTGAATTTGAGAGAGTCTTCCTTTCTCTTTGGACTCTATGTACTTTGTGTTAATTAAATTACAATTTCATTATATTTCTAGTTTCTTCAATCACCTTTTTTCACATTAAATTGGGTATTTTAGCATGTTTGTAAAAGAAACAGCACCTTTCTTCTTGTATCAAAGATTGAATATCTAATAAGTCAGAAAAAACTAAAAATGTCTTGCTGATGTGCATCTGAAATGATGTGTAACGATGAATGTGAATCTGCCCACTGTGCAACACCTGACCAGAGAAGAAGGAACATGCATCCATGTTCCTCTTTTTCTCTGCCTCCTCATTGTTCTACAGAAAGAACAGACACACAGATGCACACATTCTGGACTATTCTGAAACCAGCTTCAGAGAGGGTTAGAAACACACTCACACACTCACTTCTGTTTCTCCTTAAGTTAGTTTGTGTGTGTGTGTGTGTGACGAGGCGTTGAGTCACAGCCTCAGTCACTCTCACGTTGATCTGCCCCACTGTATTTCTCAACCAATGGCGTTACAGCAGAGAAACACGGACTCACATGATCACTATCACGTAGTGAATCCCAGCTCAGGGGGAAACTTTCTTATATTAAGCAACACCCAGTGCATTGGCACCCAAATGTTTCAGATTCCAGAGCACTGGGTGGTGATGCTGTCATATGCTGCTGTTGTTTCCCTACTGTTGCCATAGACACATCTTAGAAAAAGTCTCAAGGATCACTTAAGTTTGATATCAAGTCGAAACCATTTTCTACCTGAACAGGTAGAGTCATGTTATCCGAGATGATTCAGCATTTCTCATGGACACGAGTAGTAAAAGCAGCATAGTAAAAAAATCTTAGATAACCCCAGTGCTATAATGCTAACATTATAGTTAAACTATATAAACTTTTCAGGTGGATGAGAACACGCATAGACAGGATTACTGAGTTCGGCTGGTGTCACACATTATATGATACGTCTGTCATGTATGTGGCAAAAGCCAATATGTTTAATCTGCTGTAATGCAAAAGAATACAGACATAAAGGGTAACCTCTCCTCTAATTTGCAACTCATTATAACCCAAAGCAATAAACAGAGCAGGAAAAAAAAAAGAGCTTTCTGATGCAAACTGCTGAGAAGCCGACTGGTAGATTTATAGCTGTCAAGCTTTAGGCTCTGAGGAAGCGTTCTCAGTTGTTCACTTGGATATTACTGTCATGCGTTTTTCTTCACTTGCATTTCCAACCCACTCCTCCGCTGTGATTAAAGGGAAGGCGAGAAGCTCCGACTTTCTTCCCTCTTCCTTTCCGCACTCCCAAAGCTCAACGCAGTGTCTTGATAGTAAATAAAATGCCAATGATGCAACGGGCAGAAATGTTGCCAAGGAAACAGAAGCCAAGAGAAAATGAAGTCTTATTACCGCTTCTGAACTTTATAGCGGCACGCTGCAGAGGATTTATAATCCTTGTGATAATGTAATCATCTCCTCAGTTTAAGCAATAGTCAAGCTACTACATCATTAATAAAATGCCACAAAAAGACAAAAAGTTGATTATCCCACCATTAGGAGAAATTTGGGAATACATTTGTCGTCCAAATGCAGAAGGAAAAAATGTGTTAAACATTTACTGCAGGTGACACAGCAGTAAACTGAGGAGGTTGTATAGAGTTTGCTCTCAGCACCATTACGTTCATTACTATCTTGTTTTGCCAGCCAAGAGGTAAGCAGCTTAAAGCTCCCACTCAGTAAAAGAGCTTCTTTGGGTGTCTTCACATTTAGAGACCCAATTTGTGGGACTATGTTTGTTTTTATTCCAATAACTGGAAACTAGCTTGATAGAAACAAATGCTCCTCCGCGCACAGCAAGTTCATCTCATGCTTTTGCTCGGCTGAAGAACACAAGGATCAGCAAAACATTTGCGAAGCCTTGTGTTCTTCAGTGGTTGTTTACACGTTTCTGCTGTGTTTAACCCAAAATCCATTCTGTGAAATCTGGATTTTCCACAGCTTCAGGCGGTCTGTTCAGTTTTTTTCTGATCAAAAGTTACCAGGTTTTCTTCACCCCAAGTGAAACGGATATTACCACCTGGCCTCTGGCTATTTCAGATCACCCACCATGACATTTATAAGACATTTCAGTTTTTCAGTGAGTAGCGCTGTTAAACTCACCAGTACGCAACTTCAAAGTCATTTGTAAAATTGAACTGAGCCTAAGTGCAACTTCAGCGCAGTTTGACCAACAGCAAAGCTTCTAGAAAAGCAAACTGATATGTTACCCCATTTAGAAAAGACAGCGTGCAGCAGCGCTCTGAGCAAAATCTCACACCATGTTTGCGTGGATGGTTCCTGTGAGATCCCTTCTCTCACACAAATGCACACATGTATGTTATCACTAACCCTTTGCATTAGAAGTTGGTTGTAGTCGTCCCCAATTGCCCGGAGTTGTTGTCCAAATGCGATGGGCATGACCTCTGCCATGGGCAAACCCCCTGATGAGGGTCGGGCGCGCCTTCTACGAGGGAATGAACACGGCGCTGCTGCAGAAAAAACAAAAAAACAAAAACACACAAATAATCAGAGAAGCACACACCGATATACAGCGGAAAACAGAAATAATCGCATTCAAGAGGACACAATATTTTCAAGAGAAATGTGTGTCACTTCTAACATTTACCTGCAAATCACATTCTGTTTTCATTCTATATTTTACATATTTTAAACTGTTAGCCCTTCTGCTTGATTTAGATGAACAACAAAATGTCAGTATCATCTGCCCCTGCAGTTTTAAGTGTGGTTTGGAGTTTAGACTTGAAAACGTTGTCAAAGCTCAGCATCAGATCGGAACTCATTTTCAGTAAATAAGAAAGGGGAGTAAAAAAGAAAAAAGAAAAAAAGCGAGAGGTACTCAGACTGCAGGTGTTTTCTGAGTGTCAGAAAAGAGACATTTTTTATGACCCAGTTTAGCTTATTTGAACCAAGAACAGATGCACGTACAAATACCAAAACAAAGCAACGTGCTTATGTTTTCCTGTGCTAAACAGAAACTCATTTTTCACCAAGCATGAATAATGGAGCATAAACAGAAGCAGTGGAGTCACAGCATCATATATTGTTGACCAAGCGCACATGTTTGTGCGTTTGCGTGGTTGATCTATGACTATATTTTCAGTCTGAACTATGAAAGTATGACTATGAAAGGCTCTGACCTGTTACCGATCTCCGCTTATGACTCATGTGCGCCGTTATGAAACCCAGACTTAATATTTCTCACATCCTTCAATATTCAAGAGATCCATTCAGCAGTCAGTCCATCTTGTTGTTGCCTACGCCGAGTGTGTGTGCGCGTCATGAGAGCGCTTCAAAACCCAAAAACACAGCGCGCCGCCACCATGATCCACAAGTCAAAAATATATAGAATTCCCCTCCATTTCTATCCTAACTTGCCAGAAGGCGCAAGTCAGGCTCAGATGCTTTATTGATACGACAATCTAACTCATTCTCACAGAGAGAAACAGTGAATACAGCAGCTTTGCATCAATGTTGATGTGTAACCGACTGCATTTGGATCCTTTGTCAAACAGCAAATCTGCAGTAACTGAAGGAAGGAAGAGAAATAAATACCTCATAATTATATTAGTCAGTTTTCATTAAATCCAGCAGACGCATGTGTTTCTGCCCGATAGCACTGAGACTGGTGAAGAACTGGCCCCCCATGGTTTGTTATTGCTTCCAGGCGTGCAGTGACAGAGCATGTGGGGATGGTGGCATGCCGCCCTGTGCCGCCAGATTAAAGAACACGCGTCTAAACTGAAGCCAGACTCAAGTTTATTTCTTAGACAAACACAACAGGCAAGATCCATCAGTGTAACACACACCGAGACCTACCTGCCCCAGGAAGTGATGTCATCCTGAGCAACAAGAAGAGGATAAACTGATCTCCCTCACTCTATCTCCCTCTCAGTCACAAACAGGAAAGCAGGATGATAGCTGAGTTTTTTTTTTTTTTTTGCTTTGACAACAACACACAGCATGAATGTTTGTTGTTTTTTTTATTTCTGGTTTTATCTCTACTCCATCTGGATTTGTGGCAGGGCTTCTTGGGATGCGTTCTGTCTGCATCTCACAATGGAGCTCCAGAGCTATTTTGACTGCTTAACACAGGCACTTAATGAAGACACGTACACACATGCAGGCTGATTGTCATCTGCTCTGTCTGGTTGCAGTGAAAGAGAAGAGACACAAGGCAATCAGGGAGGCTAATCACAGCCATTCTAAAAAGCACAGCCCTTGCTACAGCGATGACCAAATGCAATGGTTTTTGCAAAGTTTTGGTTCAGCCTGCAGGCATTATGCTGTTTCTTTTTAAACTTACAAAACACCACTATCTTCCAAAGAGGAAAACAAGTCGCACAGATAAGTTGCTGAATAATGATGGAGACATTTTCTGTTCGGAAAAATCTGCAAAATCACGACAAATTGGACAAAGTCCGCACAAACACTATGGGATGATTTACTTTGTTGGTTGTGTTCTTTTTTTATTATTTCTTTTTTTAAACGGGCCATATTCAAGCCTCACGGCAGAATTTAGTTTGTTACCAAGCAACAGGACAGGCAAGTTAAGCCAAAAGCATCCCAGTTCAAAGCTTGAGTCTTCTTTTCTAAGTTGTGCGCATGAAAAAAACAAAGCACTATTTTAGATCGCTGTAGCTGGAGGTGACAAGCTTGCGTGCCTTCATTTGTTTTTGTATTAAATAAACAAATAGAAATAGAAACAGGATCCAGGCTGTGATTACTCATGAAACTTGAATAAACTCTCTGGTAGCTTTGTCAATTTAACACCATAGCTTAGACGTCTTGATTTTCTGCACCAAGGAATGATCTGAATTGTGAAGGGATCCTTTATTTGTTTGTCCTCCTGTGCGTTTGTTGACATGCTTCCTGTCACAAGTGGACACTGTAATTCCGGATGGAAACACAACTGGGACAGACGGTTGATTGTAAAACGGCGATCGGACTACATTTGGGTGTAATCTGACCACATTTTTGAGCACTGTGCCACATCTAAGGACCACATACTTTGATGGCCCCGCATCAAAGTGCAGGTGACAGGATTTTTACCAGGACATTTTGTCTGTAAAATAGAGAAAAGGTTGTCATGCACTACAATGTGCACACAGTCTTTAGGAGGCATGAAAAATAAGTTTTATCTGAAAACTGTTTTTCAGGTTTTCTTGGTTTAGTCAGCAGACCTTTATATCTATGACTTGAAGCTATTTCTTCTTTGTCGTATCATATTTGTTACATAATAAGGCCTCGGGAAAGGTTTTTCTTAAAACAGCTTACGAAATGTTTTAGGTGAATCTTGCATGGGGAAAAGTTTCACACCGCAGGACTGCCCAGGAGACTGAATGCAATCTGGGACTCAGCAGAAAAATGGGGGGCTTTTGTGACTGAAACCCAGTAGAAATGCCATAAAGTTCATTTTGTCTGATGACATATAGGGCCAACAATGCTGGGCATGAAATATCATTCTTGACATCTTGGAACCATTATCTCCTGAATTAATCTCTACACTTTTTAATTTTTTTGTTTTTTTTAATGTCGAGACACTTGTAGAGTTACATAAAGCTCTGAAAAGGTAAAGCAGAACATCTCGGGGAGTATGAAAATACCCTAAGATGAAAAGCTGATGAGAAAAGTGGAGGAGTGGACTCTCACTGCTTCCACTTCCTTTAACACGTCAGCTACATTTTCTACCACTTTCATCTTCTTGCAATTGAACTGCTTTCATGTGAAATTGTCACAAAATTCTGAAGTGATATTACCTGAACTGTGTCAGCTGGGACTTCATTTTGAAAAATTAACTAATCTGAGTTTTTCAGTCTGCTCTCAGGCTAGAATCTGGCTGAGTTGTCAGTTGCATTGTGGGTAATGAGAGAAAAAGATCAACGTATAACTTCGTTAACGCTGATTCGAGTGAATTTGGTTTGGCAGTAAGTTTAAAATCTATTGGTTTCACACACACACGGACACTCGACAACATTCGGGTGAGTTCCGACTGTTTTAGATGATACACAAACCCCTTTCCCACTCAAAGCAGCAATCACTTCCGTGACAAATGTGAATCAGAGGCTGTGATCTAACAAATCCCAAAAGGATGTTTGAGACCAACTCAACTTATATACAGTAATTATCACGCCACATGTAATTATGTGTTTGTCAAAAGCAAATCAGACTGCCTTAACACAAAAGATATGAACAGTATTCACGCAAAAAAAAGAAGTTGTGAACTTCCTCTGACAGCAACGGTCTTGAGACTTTGGCTGGGATCTGTCCTGTGAGGTTTGGGAGGGCTTTATCCTATCTGAGGGGCAGCAGTCATTTGTGACTTCTGCACGTTTCTGCCTGAGTTTGCTACACTTTCCTTTACGCGCCAAAGGGGCGAGGTGTGCAGAGTCAATAAATCAGAATGTGGAGGGAGAAAGAAACGCCATGAGTCTGCCTGATGTCTCAGATTCATCAGAATAGTGGAAAAAGCAGACATGAGTAAGATCAAAAAGGAAGCTTGTTTGTGTGTGTGGGGGGTTAAACGTATTTGTCATCTTTTTACTATCATTGTTCACACTCAGCACCGCCCCACATAAAAGGAAGCTTCAGACAGCTTGTGTGAAATCTCATCTCTAAATGGAGCAGAAATACGATCAAGAGTTTTAAAAACAAATCAAATATGAAGTTGAGATATGGGAAAGACTGTTTTTTTTTTTCTCCACCTGTGAGTAAACTAACTGCATTAAAAGTTATCCGCTGCTCTATTTGTCACCATTTACTCGCCATTAAGACAGCTCAAAGCCTGCACCCCACCCCCCAATCTGGAACATGTCTGTGCGCTCACCTGATTCCCGGTGGAAGCCCAGAGGTCTCAGCTCCTCAGCCATTCGCTGCAGGGCGTGGTTCAGCACCTGGCTGGCGGGGCTCGGAGTCTGCGTGGCTTTGTTGGCCGTCGCAGGCTTCGGGGAGAGCGGGGAGCTGGGCAGCGATCCGCTGTCGTAGGAGAAATACCCGCTGGAGCTGCGCCTCAGGAGGGAGGACAGCGGCCCGTTCCGGAACACGCCGAACGCGGCCGGGTTTCTGGAGCAGGACGGCGAGTCTGGCTCCCCTCCCGCGACGCCTGTTCGCGCGAAGCCCCGCTCGTGCAGGGCGTAGTTTGAGCCGAGCGTTTGTGGCGCTGAGGTCGGAACAGCCCCGGCGGGCGGCGGGTCCTCTCCCTCTGTCGCTGTTACTTCGGGCGAGCCATCGGACAGATTGGGTGGTCTGTTGAATGGAACAGAGCAGCAGCGCCATCAGCATGGGATCTCATCATCATCATCATCACCCTAACTCCCGCGGGCAGAGTGCGGAGCGCAGCTGAGTGCGCACCGCCGCAGACTGAAGACTGGACGTGCGACTCCAGTTCCAGTTCCCGAGCCGAGATCTTCGCGATTTTCTTTCTTTTTTTACACCCCTCCGACGTTGGTTACGTAGAAGCGGAAGTCAAGCCGTTCCACTTTTCTGGGTTTTATTTGATTTTTTTTTTTTTAGCGCACACGGCAGCTGAGATCGGCCGAAGACTCTGACGCTCAGGAGGTGCGCAGTGCGCGCGTTTCAGCACGCGATGCCCGGAGTTTCCTGTCCGAATCGTCGCGTGCTTTCCATTTCTGATCACAAACACCTGATTATAGCACTACTTAGTTGACTTTAAGGAGGAAAGGGGCAATTCAATATGAAGGAAGCTGCCCAAAGTGCGTCACAATTCTGTTTCCAATGACCAGATCGAAGTCTGGGACAACCCGGGACATTTTGGCTGAATTCCTGAGATATATGTACATTTTTTTTAACAACGAGAGCGATCAGTTGGATTCGTCACGTCACCTTGTGCGATTGTTTTCTATTTTCTAACTCCACAATTGAGTTTCTATGATAAAATTGACATTGAAGACAAATGTAAATTTGGAACGGTGCTTCCTGTTTTCCCAGGTTTAAAATGCAGCTTTCTTTTGCGAACAGATTACGAACGGCATAGAGCAGTTTTACTATCTAAAGCATTCACAAATGGGAACCAATCGGTTTTCGGCTTTATGTACCGGCAGAGAGAGGTTTTCACATCGCTGATGGGCATCTTTATCACTCTGCCTTTAACGCACTTTTACTCAGGTGTGGACCTGAACACCGCGATTCGTCCTCAGACATATGGGAATATCAACTTTCCCTGTTGGGTTTCGGTGCAAATCCAAAAACCAGCAGATGAGATAAGCTTATTGGCTTTACGCGGTGAAACAACACTCGCGCACGGAAAAGCCTCCGTGCCAAGAGGAGAGAGAGAGAGAGAGAGAGAGAGAGAGAGAGCAGAGGCGGAAGGAAAGGGGAGGAAAGCGTCAGCGCCAGAGCCAGAAACCGAATGACAAGCAATTTGCGTTAAAACACGGTGCAGAATATTCGAGGAAATCCGTCCAGCAGCATTTTCACACCGTCTCCGTATTACGTGAAACGTTCATTTGTAACATTTCTGCCTGTGGGCGACACAGAAGAGTTTAAACATCGCGACAGTTTGACATAACACGATAAGGTTTCACGTTAACAATAAAAAACAAATAAAATACAGTCGTTTAGCAGCTGTCACACGGGAGCCTGGAGTGTCTTTGAGTTCAGCTTTGTTTTTGTTTTTTCACGGCAAAACGGTGCGTGCGCGCCTCCTACGGGTCACGCTTCCCAAAAGTGTTAGAATAAAGACGCAATTTTGTTAGCGTCCAATAGTTCCCATTTTCAAGGAAGTTGGTGAGGGATAAAAGTGTGCCAGCTCTCCAACTGAGAGTGGACACTAATGCGCTTTGACCTCGGCCACGATAAGGCTCATAAGCTGCACAGACTGATAACTAAATGAGCAGAAAACTGCTTTTTCTCCTCTGCCGAACAACGTGGAAGTTATCACCGTGCTGTAAGGTGCTTGAGTGTAGTTTGGAACGGATTGCGCTCTCCGGCGAGCGAAGACGATGAAGCTTGTGCTTCCAAGGCGATCATAATCGACACGGACTTTTGTTTTTTTGTTTTTTGGGTACATTTGGACCTGACACAATCTTTATCCCTAGTCAATCGCGAGCCGAGCTCCTAATGGCGTTCTCAACATTGAAGAAGACATCTATGTTTACATTAATCTTGATTTAACCGGCAAGAAGTGTCACAAATATATTTTCAAGATGGAAATAACGACATAAACGTTGATTTAACATCACAATTGAACATGAACTCCAACTATCAAAGCTCCATAAAGTAAATAACATTTACTCTTTACGATACAAAACTAACAGACTCATTTCAATCTTTAAGGAGAACATTGAGCGTAAAACCGTTCGAATAAAAACAAGCGTCTTGCATTAATAGTTTCTGCTCCAGACATGAGACCGGGACAGCTGCGCGAGCAGAAGCCGGTGCGGCTGCAGCTCAGCCGGTAAGGCACGCGCGCTCCCGCCGGCCGGGTCCACTCACCTGGACGGACTATGCATGTCATAGGCACCGCATAAGGAAAACTCCCCAGCTTTCGGTTGTTTTTTTTATGGCAGCTCCACTGAGTTCCAAAGGTCCAAAGTGGTGTAAAAAAAAACAACAACAACAAAAAAAAAACTCAAAAACCAAAACAAACCAAAAATAATGATAACTTCCAGAAAAGTTTTCAACGAGAAAATAAAAAAAGTGAATAAATCCCAGAGCTGTTGAAGAATAATGGCTCGAAAAAGATGCAGGAGTGGTTGAATAATCCGCTTCGTCTGAGAGGTAAACAAACTCCAGCCAGCCTTTTGTTTGCTCTGAAGCTTCCTTCCTCTCCCTCTGACTCTTAACGAGAGTCCAACAGTGTGGACCGCCTGTGCTCTTTCCCCCAAACTAGGTCCGCCTACCAGCAGTTTTCCTTTTTTTCATCAACGGCCCTCTATCGCCCCCTGCCGGCCGTTTCTCTCACTGCAGTCAGCCTCACTGGAAACCTTTTATCGAAACACTTCAGTCTATCCACAGCTTTCTGATGGCCTTGGAAATCTCTCTATAATTCTTTTTTTAAAATTATTATTTCATATCATTGCATACTATGTACAATAATTCATTAGGCTGGCCAATCACTGATATTCTCTCACAATCAGGTGATTATGCTCCTTCCTTTTTGGCTGTAAAACTTCCAGGTGGTTGTTCTCTGGAAGCCATGCGGAGGCAGATGGAAGGTGGAGAATGTCATAATTTTCCATGCTGCACATTATCTGAACAAGTCCTGTGGTTGAACTGTTTTTATGCGTGTTTTTAGGTCACTTTCCTACCATCCCTTTACAGGTATCGTACGGATTCAGATGTGTCTCTCTTCTCGTTGACGCTCAGGAGAGTACACAGTGATTCCAGGGACTAGGGGCCCTGTCCAGCTTCAATTTAGTCTTTGGTCCCTGGGAGAAAGTATCCGATCCACAAAGCTCTGACAGCTGCAGGGAGAGGAGCACAAAGAGAGGAGTCACATGCACACAAATCAATTCAGGCAGAAAGCAGTGAGCCAATCAATTGCATTTACATGTGATCAATTCCAATCAATTCCTCAGAGTGTGGGAAAATGGAAGTGAATGGTTCAAAATACCTGCTGTTTGTGTTGTAATCCAGCTTCTCTCCCGACAGCTCATTGTGCATCCGGCCTTTCAGAGCTCTGCAACAATTCATTTACATTTCTTGTGCTAAAAGGAAGAATTTGTTGTTAGAATTTACTAAAGGTTACATTAAGTGTCAAGATAATTCAGATTTTTGAGTTTGTAATCCTGATGGAGAGCACTTTTATTCTCAGAAGAAGTTAATTATTCTGATTGAAACTATTCTGAAGCATGCTGTCATTTTGCACAGTGGGTCGTGTAGTGGGCCCGTGTGTGGAGCCTATGCAGGCCGCCTGAGTACGATTCCGACTCGTGGCCCTTTCCTGACATGCCACTTTCAAATAAAGGGCCAACGCAACTTTTAAAACGAAACTACAGAGAAGTTCTCTATTTTGTTAGAAGCAACACGATCAGCTTAACTAACCCTTGAACTAACCACTGACACCTCAACTACCCAATTTTTGCACATCTTAAAAAGTGTCATAACTTTTAAATAATTTTCCCCCACAAATATTGTGTCTCTATTTCTCTATGTACACTTAAATCTGTCACAGTGTTTGGTGAACTAACCCAGATGTGGACACAGAACAGGTAGGAGAATGGGTTTAGAAACTTAAATCTATCTGAATAAACACACGAAAAGTTGTCAAGTAGCCAATTCATCAACTAAATAAAAAATAATAATATTGAGCAGCAATAATTAATAATTAGATTTAAAAAGACATGAATAATGAAACCGAGAGGTGGCCGCTACATAATTAGGTGACTGGAGTGGAGCTGATGAACGAAAAAGAGAGAAGAATAAAACAGATAAATAACACCACAAAAAGACAGAAGCACAGTATAAACCACAGACCTTAAAATAATCCAAAACTACATGAAAAACAGGAAAAAACAGAAACCAAGGACGAGGTTCACAACAACCAAAATCATGGAAAAATGTGATATAAAACATCACACAATATTTGCTGATGTTTGTGTGAACTCTATCAAACTGATTTTCAGCTTAAAATGATGAAGAATTGGAGCTTCTTTTATTTTTTAAAGTAGATGTTTAACAATAATGCTGTACTGATAACGAATCACAGAGCACTTGTTTATTCACATTACAAACAATGCATTGCTCACATTCTGTGCACAATTTGAGAGGAGAAATAACAACTTTTTTCTGTGTGCCTGATCACTCTCCATGCTCAAATGATACCACAGCCACTGTCTCTGTGATTTAGTTTAGAGCAGAGTCTATTAATCCATTTGAAGCAACAGCATTTAGACACGTGTTTGTTTTTTATCAGTCAGACTCAATATGCTTTTAGAAAATAGAAAAAAAAGCTAAAATCTCCCATTCACATTAACTTCATATTAAGTTAATAAAAGAAACATTCATTTTAATGATCAAACTGCTTCAATCTGTAGTTTTATCCCTTTGGAAAATACATTTTTAACTACCCGGCGAAGGGATGATGGCATCCCCTATTAACTGTAAAACTCATATAGATAGGTAAAGCATGACAAGATACGCTATTCAAAAGCAAATGTTAATGGAAACTCTACCTTTTTCCACCACCTGTTTACTTAACCCTAACCCTAACTTTCAGACCTGGTCCCAAAGCTGTTACACATAGCTTAAATAATAATCCATATATTAGCATGCCAGTATCTATATTTATATTTCCAGCAAGCTAAAAGAAGAATCACATTGGCTCAAATTATTTCAGGGAAGGGTTGTTGATGGAGTCCTTCATGAAGGCTTTGCAGTGAACTAAATGGATGTATTCATTCTTGAATGCCGGTTGTGTTAGAAGCCGGGCTAAATAAACATCATAGCCTTTGTCACGTGCGTCACGCTCATCAACTGCTACTTCTGCTGAGTTTACAGAGAGGATGAGATAAGAAAACAAGGGGCTCTCTGAATGCATTATGTCTTTCAAGCGCATTCAAATATTTCCAGCGTTACAATGTGGATGTCTGAGGTTTCCCAGGTTCTCTTCAGGATATTTATTTAAACAGGGGATTGACTCCTGGAGCCGCTACACTCACAGAGTTTTATGACATCGTTTAGCTGCCTGCAGGGAATTTAAGGGTAATTACAGATTACTCACTACAGTAGACACCATTATGCACCAGTGAGTGAAACGAGCTGTAAATTACACAGCAGTGCAAACAGGTTTAAAAAAAAAAAAAAAACATTTTTTGTTATTGAACACACAAACTGAAGGCTACAGATAATCTGTGTTGAAAAGGCTTAACAATACACATTTTTACCATCCACAGTTTTACCATCAAAATTTCCATCTCTACCAGCATTATCTGCTCCAGCTCACTAAACATTAGCTTCATACTGAGAAACATGAGAGGTTAACAGCCTCGCTCTAAGTAGTGGCCAGCAAACACATCAAAGCTCATCATGGGCGATGCATAAAGTGTTCTGACTCAGGAGGGGCTCCATTACAGGTGCTGGATCAATGAAGGGTTAAAGAATCAGAGTCATCTCTGCTGAATGGCCAAAACTGGACACTTGAAGTTGAGATGCCATTTCTGAAACCATATTCAAGTTTCTGAATCGTATGAAAAATACTGTCTATGATTCACTCGTCCCACAGACGCTCCACACTCTGGAGAGTTAACAAAACTGCACAACAATAATTGAGAATGCACCCTCTCCAAAATTCCCACCTCTCTGACATAAATCTAACCTCTGACCCTTCAATACCTCTCCTGGACATGAGCCCTCTCTATTTTTATCTGTTACTGTCCGCGTCAGGTCTGAATGAGCGGCCTGTCCTTTCAGGACCAGTTTAGTAACATTTACAAATCCCTCTCCACGCGACACAAGTCTGCAATGCGTGCAGATATGTTGAAAGATAGGCATGCATGGGAACTAATTCAGTGTGTCATCTGCCTCTCGGGGGAATCAGACAGATCCAGTAAACAAACATGTTAAAAAGACCAATGCATAATTAGTTAAAACGACATTTCTGAAAACTTGCTTTAATGCCATTAATGACCACCCTTGATTTTTATTTTTCTATTGACAAAAAAACGTATTTGGTGTTTAACTGCTCACCAGAACGACTTCATCCAAGTGATATTTAATAGAGAGTGTTTAAAAAGTGTGTGTGTGCGTGCTTAAGAGATATTGACTGCACGCCATTGTGTTAATGGTAAGACTCATGCAGTTCCCATGCACTGAACCATAACACCCTCCCTCAGCCAGACAATGCTGACCACCTGGACTAATACTGTGTGTGTGCGTGTATGTGTGTGTGCTCATTACGTTGGCTGGTTGTAATGTGAGAGGTCAAGAAACAATGGCACTGAGGCTCTGAGGACGTAGCATCACGCTGAGAGAGGTCACAGATATGTGTCGAACGGATTCCATACACACGCTGGTGTTTGGGGAGGAGATAGTTAAGGGACAGTTTCCGCTCAGACGCTCAGAATAAAAAAAAATCAGAGGTGTAAAGACGAGTGTGCCCATGTGAGAAAGCTAAATTAATGTAACTTTAAAAAATCTAATGAGAATGCTCTGTTGTGCCAAACAGAGAGAGATAAAAGACCAACCAAAATATACCAGCTACCTTTCCCATCTTTTTCTTTGTCTAATCTTTACATTGTTGCCAATACAACTCTGCCAATATTTCCTCCCGTTCATCTGCATTTGGTACCATTTTGCTGAGTGGAAAACGGCATCATTCCTTTGCCCGTGTGTGCTCCCCTTGTCGGTCGACTCCAGCCGTTTGGTCATGCAGTTGTTCTCACTTTGCTGTGATCAAACGGCAGTGACAGGCACAGCCCTGCACACACAGATGTGTTGTCATATTGGGTTTGAATCCACTCAGCAGGCTGTTTATGCTTCAGGTTTGTTTTAGCACACCAAACAAACCTCA